GAGATGGGCCTCAGTCCAGAGGTGATGAGTCCAGGTGGGGATGCGGGTGGAGCACTGATGACGTGCCTGCCCAGAGACACCCTTCCCCCAACTGCAAAGGGATTGGGAAATCGCGGGGGAAGGAGGGGAAAGTAAAAAGCCTTTATTTTCCCAGACTCCCGTCTCTGGGGGAAAGGGGTGGGGAGAAGGAGGGAATAAGCCACAGCATTTGGAGAGAGCATCGACAAGAAACCCGTCAGCCTCCTCCGGACTTCCCAGCTTCCCTTCAGTAAACCAGCAGCAGAGGGCCGGGGGCGGAGCTAATCAGCGGCTCCCTTGCTGGTAAACATTACAACAGCCCGTAACTCAGAGCTGATGGAGGAAGCGTGGCTGGAACATAGGGGCAAGGGGTTCTGGGCCCTCCCTCCGCTTTGCTAGGGAGGAAGCTTAAGGCCTATCACACATCTTCAACTTTTTTTTTTTTTGCGGTACACGGGCCTCTCACTGTTGTGGCCTCTCCCGTTGCGGAGCACAGGCTCCGGACGCGCAGGCTCAGCGGCCATGGCTCACGGACCCAGCCGCTCTGCGGCATGTGGGATCCTCCCAGACCGGGGCACGAACCCGCGTCCCCTGCATCGGCAGGCGGACTCTCAACCACTGCGCCACCAGGGAAGCCCCTTTTTATTTTTTACGCACTAGCTGGGATCCCCTAATTGCTTTACGAGCGTGACGTCTTGTTTCTGCAAGAGGCTTCTGGTGCTTGAATACTTTTAGAATCTCCAAGGGGCTGGCATCTGTCATTTGTCCATTCACCAAACATTGACTGAGTGTACGCCATATGCCAGACGCCATCCTGGGCTCTGAAAACACAGCACTGAACAGAGACCAAATCCCTGCTCTCACAGAGCTTACTTTCTAGTGCTGGGAGTCAGAAGACACGTGATTAGGCAAGTGAATCTATGTCAGGTCTGTACAAGTTCTACAAATTAAGATAAAGCCAGGGGCTTCCCTGGTGGCGCAGTGGTTGAGAATCCACCTGCCAATGCAGGGGACACGGGTTTGAGCCCTGGTCTGGAAAGATCCCACATGCCGTGGAGCAACTAAGCCCGTGCACCACAACTACTGAGCCTGTGCTCTAGAGCCCGTGAGTCACAACTACTGAGCCCGCGTGCCTCAACTACTGAAGCCCACGTGCCTAGAGCCCATGCTCTGCAACAAGAGAAGCCACTGCAACGAGAAGCCCGTGCTCTGCAACGAAGAGTAGCCCCCGCTCACCGCAACTAGAGAAAGCCCATGCACAGCCATGAAGACCCAACACAGCCAAAAGTAAATAAATTTATTTTTTTAAAAAAAAGATAAAGCCAGCTAAGGGGACAGAAGAAGGGAAGGTCCATGGGTGATTGCTTCCTGGAGGAGAGGCATTCCAGGCAGAGGGAACAGGAGGTACAAAGGCCGGATGGGAGGAGCCTACTTGGCCAGGAGCCGGGGTGCTGGAGCAGACAGATAGAGGGGAAGACACTGTAAGAAGAGCCAGTGAGGACGGGGAGGGATCAGATCCCATAGGGCTGAAGGATTTTGGTTTTAAATGGAAAACTACTAAAGGGCTTTGAGCGGGAGTGCCGTGACTTGGATTCAGAGGAACTGAAGTCAGAGCATCCTCTCTGCTGCTTAGATAACAGCCCAGAGAAGGTGGATCGGTGATGATGAAGCAGGGGCACCAGGCAGGGGTCTACTGCAGTGGTGGTGAGGGGTGGTCCGACCCTGGGTCTATCTTACGGGTAGAACTGCAAGGATCTGGAGGGGGAGGGCAAGGCGGTTATGAGAGAAGAGGCATCAGGGTTGATGCAAGGCCCAAACGCCTGGAGGCAGGTTACTGGGATGGGGAAGACCAGGGAAGAAGCAGGTTTGTGAAGGGAAACCGAGGGCTTAGTCTCGGTCTTTGTAAGTTTGAGATGCTGAAGGTCAGGCTGAGTGGGCAGCTGGATGCAAACATCTGGATTCCAAGAGAGGACCAACGTAGGGATAGATACAAGTTGGGAATCACCAACATATAGATAGGATCAAAGCCACAAGCCTGGATGAGATCGCACACAAAGTTACTCTAGAGATCTCTCTGTAGACGACATATTGTACTTACCACGTGCCGACACTGTGCTAACGGTAAGTCCTTTACAGCTATTGACTCAATCGTCCTAACAGCTCGGAGGCAAAGCTCCGCTATTACCCCCATCTTACTGATGTGGGCACTAAGGCACTTACTCAGAGAGACAAGGGGACAGTGCAGAGGCCTCTGGGTACTCCAGGGTCAGGAGGGCAGGGAGACCAGGAGGAACCAGCCGGGACACTAGAAGCGGTGGCAGGTGAGGTGAGAGGAAACCAGGGAGCATGGTGTCCCCAAAGCCTACAAGTGTCCCTGCAGGGGACAGGAGGTGGAAGCTGACCACTGGATGGAAGACAGGGACATCTTTGCTTTCACTAACCTGGTTCTGAAACTACTTTCCTCCCATTTTGAATGCAGGCAACAAATCCCAGTAGTTCTCTCAGCCCCTGAGACTCTGTCACCAGCAGCAGCCCTAGGTGCTTTCACCGTCGGTGCAGAAGTACCCTGTGTGCTCATCTCTGCTTCCAGATGACAGCAGTTCCTAGACCCACAGCCTCACTTGGCTTTTTAACATGTCAGTAAAGAAGTACCTACGCTGTGAAATCACACATGTTAAAAATCTGATCCTTGTATCCCAATACAACTGTTTCCCCTGTCAGCCTACATATTTTATACCATGCATTTAAAATACCCTGAGAAGGGGTTCATGACACCAGGAAAGGTTTAAAGATCTCCAGCTCATCTCAATATTAACCACAGGTGAACAACCAAAAGCCACCGCAGGTTGGGGAACAGCAACCTAACCTAGGGCGTCAGCTTGGCACTTAACCTCGGATTCCACAAGCTAAGGAAGCCCAGACACTTCCTGATGACTGTGTCTGGGGCAGGTAAGGTTAGATCACAGCTCACAGGCACCCCCACCGAGGACAATGCCACGAAGACGACTGTGATGCATCCCTGCGGCCATCAGAACGTGCCCAGCCCAGGTATGGGGGATGGGCGGGGAATTGCTGCTTCTCATTCCCGGGGTCTCACTTGAGACGACTCTGCTACCCCTACTCCTTCTCCTTCCCTCTCGTCTGCCCTTTGGGCTGCTCGGTGCCAGGCTGACCTGCTGTTTCCCTGTGACCACAGCTCTGCTCTGCCTTCACTTTGGAAGCAGCTCAGAGTGTTCCTCACCATACCCTGCCCCCGTCATCTGGCTCTCCTGACTTCTCTGCTGGGCAAAGTGGAGGGGTTAAAACAAAGTCACTGTTCCACGCTTCCGAACAATCAATGAGAGACCCCAGCACAGAAGCCACAGCCTCCTCAGGCTGGCTTTTTTTTCCATGTCACATGGGTCCCACACCAGCAGAACGAGGGTCATGATGGAGCTTTCCTTTATAGGGTCATTAGGAGATTCAATGAGTTGGCAGCTGTAATGCACTTAGAACAGTGGCTGGCACGTGGTAAACACCATATACATCGTTAAATAAAGACAATCTTGACTTTTCTGATTCCCATTTAAAAAAAAACAAGGAAAACGCCTTTTAAAATTCATAAATTCAGTGTTAACCAACAAAGCATTCAAGAATAACTGACATTAACCTGGGAAAAAAAAAAGGTATGGTGGAATGCTTACAGTCATTCTTAAATTTGAAAAGCTTAAAGGAGATGTTAAGGGTAAAGAGAGATCCTCTGGCTAAAAGTTCCACAGAGTTTGGAACTACTCTGAACATGGAGCAGAAAATCTCTAATCAAAGATCATTGTGCATTTGTCTAGTTTATGGGGGAAAAAATGAAACCACCAAAGCTGTTCACACCGAGATCAAGGGGAATCACACAATACCACGGTGAGGACCACCTGGTCTACCTCCGTCGTTTTTGTAGGAAGGAGAGGAAATGGAAGGCACGAGAATTTTCCACGGCTAAGGGGGAAATTCTCCAGAGACGCAGGGTGTGGAAGTACCATCTCCCAGCTGCAGGGTGCCTCGCGGGGAGTGCCAGCTCTCCCCTCCTCCAGGGCAGGAACAAGTCTGGCTGGTTTGAAACTTGCCTGGCTAACCAGAACATGGTTCGTCTGCCTCTGCAGGACCCCTCCTGCCCGTCTCATGACTTGCAAGCAAAACCAACTCTGCAGGTCTCACCCTTGCCCTGCACCCACCAGGCAACCTTGACTCCATTTCCCGAGAAAAGGTGGAAGCTGACAATGAATCTGGCCTCCGGGGCAGCAAGTGTCCATGCCGTTTCTGTACTGCTTATACTCTGTTGTCCTTGCTAGAAATGAACTAGAGCCTCCAAGAGCTGGAAGAGGTTTGGGGGATCTCCTCCGCCTGCCCCCCACCCCGACCTCTGCACCCCCATTCTGCAGAAAAAGCCAGTCCCTAACTACCTACCTAGACCACGTGCAATGTGAACACATTGTAACACATCTAACCAGTGCCTTCCTTAATCACTCACACCCACGTCCGATTTCCAATACACTGGGCTGGATCGCATTTCAGGCTAAGCGCCACGGAAGGGGCTGGGGTTTTTTCTGACCTGAGAATGCAAAATGAGTCCATCCTCTTTAGTGCTCCCTTTAAACCTTCTGGAGACTGACACGGGCTACACTGAATTCTATTTTGCACACGGAGGATCCCACTGCGTTACTGTTTCCATCGTTGTGAGTAGGTGGATGTGACAGACAGAACTTTAGCTTTCCAGGTTCTGATGCCAGGAGGAATGGAGAAGGTGTAAAATTCAAGTGCCTTCACAGGGATTAACGGGAACCCGGACAACTGGTTCCTAGGCCACTCCCACCTCCTACAGAGAGCTTCTTCTGGAGCGGCTACCACACCCCCAGCTCCCAAACCTGAGGGGTGACCGGAACGGCAGTCCTCGTGGCTAACAGGCTCATGTCGCCCCCATCACGCGCCCGACGCCTAATCGCCTCGGTCACCTGTGGGCTTCTGTGGGTCCCAGGCCATTTTCCAGGCTGACATCTGTCTGCACCATCTCCTGTTTCAGTTCTCCAATCTCCGAGGCGATTGTGTCAATGAGCTATTCAAAGACAAAAATAGTGTGACGTCAGGAAGTGGAAGAGGCGTGTGCAGAGCTGGGCAGCTTCAGCCGCTGCAATAGGAGCACAGAGATGACCACCTTTTTTTGTTTTTTTTTAAATCCTGGCTTTGTGAATTTCCTTTACCCAGCTGCGGGGGGGGGGGGGGGGGGGGCAAAAAATAGAGAGGGAGGGAGCAGCTTCTTAGAAAGAGGAAGAACTTAGATTTCGGTATCGCCCTAAGAAATAAATATTGACACCCAGTTTGGCTTCTCAACATGACTACAAAGAGGAATAAGTAAATCTTGGCAAAACCAGGCAGGCCTCAAAATTCATATTGTCAAAGTGAAAACTCCTAAAGGGTGCCCTGGGTTAAAATGTATACCATCCTTATTCTGGTTACAGAAAGAAGCCTATTTCAAAGATATATACACTTGGCAAATCAATTTCCAATGACTTTAAATTTATTTCTCGTCTTATTCTTTGCTTTCTTTCTTTCTTTCTTTTTTTTTTTTTGATGAGAAGATTGTTAGGGGAAAGGGAAGAGAGAGGGTTGTGTGGGGCTGGGAGCAGGTGAGTGGGCAGTCAGGGAGCCACAGGGGGAAGAGATGGGTAAATGTGTCCTCTTCTTGGAAAAGACTTGTGTGGGCTCGCTTCCCCGCCCACATGCCTGGAAGAGGCTACATCTGACCCTGAAGTTTGGTGTGAATTCTTGAGCACCCCCAACTGCTCATTCAAAAGCATCTTCACTGGTGCTAACCCGGCTCTGCGTGTGTGGAACAGAGGCTCTCAAAGTGTCACTGCTCATCCATTTTTTAAAAATGTAGTTAATTACTTCACATAAATGTTGCTTATGTCAACATGTAATCAATTACTGTTCTAAAATAAATATTTAAAATTTTTTCTTCATTTATTTCGTAATACAGCAAGTCCGCTACATACGAATGAGTTCCATTCCGAGAGCGTGTTGGTAAGTCCAATTTGTTCGCTAAGTCCAACAAAGTTAGCCTAGGTACCCAACTAACACAATTGGCTATATACCGCTGCTTTTACGCTTGCTTCCGGACATCCTGGGCTTGAAATAAAGATACTGTACTACCGTACTCTATACAGTACTGTACAGTAAAGAACACAAAAGCACAACCACTTCTAGAGGATGCACGCACATGACAATGTACACCAGACACGTGAACTAACTTATGTGACTGGGCGTGTGAACGCACGTTTGCATCTTTGAAAGTTCGCAACATGAAGGTTCATATGTAGGGGACTTACGGTACAGCAGGTATCTATAGATATAATACACATGAACACAAGCAGTTTGTAGGGCCCTTCATAATTTTTAACAGTGTGAAGGGGCCCTGGGATTTATAAAACGCTTGAGAATCACTGTTTTGGCTAAAGACAGGTGTCGTCTTGCCTCAAGCAGCTTTCATCCCACCCAGACTCTGGCAGCAATTTCATTTTGAGCCTAGAGACTGTTCCAAAATGTTGACGTCCATCTATTCATTCATTCATTCATTCATAACTTTATGGCTACCCACTTCCTGCCATGCACTGCAAGTGTAGAGTAGGGTTGACAGTCCTCACGGAGATGATATTCTGGTGGGACACAGACCAGAGCACTGAGCACTGAGACGTTCCAGAATGAAAAGAGAGTCAAGTGATGCTGCAGGGAGCAGCTAAAGGGCCACCCTAGCTATGGCGGGGTGGTCAGGACAGGTTTTCCAGGAAGTGATGGAGCCCTGAATGACAAGGGAGCCATGAAAAGATCAAGGGAAGAGCCATCCACACAGAGTCCCAGAGGTTAGGGAGGCATGTGGAAGGGTGCAGTCTGCCTGCGACCAGACCTTGTCCACCTTCTAGATCACGGTACCCTTGGATTTGAGTTTTCAACTGAGAACCATTGGAGGGCTTTAGTGGGGGAATGGCATTTTACCTGTTTTATGTTCTAAAAAGATCCCCTTGACTGTGGGTTAGAGACGGTTTGTAAGGAGAAGCAGCAAAACTAGTTAGGAGGCAACTGCAATGGTCCAGCCAAGAGGTGATGGTGGCTTTGGTCAAAGTGGTAGCAGAGGAATTAGAAAGAAGGGGGGAAATCCAGGAACAACTGGACACGGAAATTAATGTAAGTTGACGGGCTGAACGTGGCGGTGGGGAAAGAGAAGAATCAAGGACAACTCCTAAGTTGTTGGCTTGAGCAATTAGAGAGATGACAGTGCCCTTGACTGAGATGGGAAAAAATGGGGAAGGATTAGATTTGAGGAGGAAATCAAGCTGGACACTGTGCAGGTTAAGGTTTTTTTGGGTTTTTTTTTTTTGCGGTACGCGGGCCTCTTACTGTTGTGGCCTCTCCCGTTGCGGAGCACAGGCTCCAGACGCGCAGGCTCCAGACGCGCAGGCTCAGTGGCCATGGCTCACGGGCCCAGCCGCTCCGCGGCATGTGGGATCCTCCCGGACCGGGGCACGAACCCGTGTCCCCTGCATCGACAGGCAGACTCACCCACTGCACCGCCAGGGAAGCCCCAGGTTAAGTTTTAACTGAGGTGCTTATTGGCCATCAATTAAATGTATTAAGTGGCTTTTGATATGAAGGGTGGAACAACCTGTACGTTTGGAAGTCACTGGAATAGGTGTTAGTGTTTCAAAGTCCTGTGACAAGGAGAGATTACCTAAGGGGGCGGGGAAGTTAGAGAAGGGGCCCCAGCAAACAGCTCTGTGCACTCCCAATACTTAGAAGTCAGGAGACAGGAGACCAGCCAAGTCCATCCCCTTCGTGTGTGACTGGGGTGCAGGCTGTAGGTGGAGCTTCTGGAAGCACTGGGGCCTTGGGAGAGAAGACCAGGAGGTCTTTTACACACAGTCCAGTGGCACAGATTAAAAAGTCTGACAATGCCAAATACTCGAGACGTGGGAAAACAAACCCTCACGTGTTGCTGGAGGAGCGTTTGGAGAGCACTTTGGAGAGTGATGTGCAGTTTCTTGTAGAGCTGGAGATAACACAGACCTGCATACGTACTACATACGAGAGAAACTCGTGCACATGGGTGCAGGGAGACCTTGAGAAGAATATTGGCTGTACCGCCATGTGTAAGAAAACCAAATTATAAGCACCTAAATGTCCATCAATTGGAGAATGGATAAATGGAGGGATAGAATACTACATGGCAGTTAAAATTAATGAACCAGATTATATGGATCAACACATATATAGACATAAAAGCTCAAGAAAGTTTTCATAAAAGCGAAAACAAAACAGGTTGAAAAGGATTACATTCAGTACATGAGGTTTAAAACCAGGCAAAGTTGTACTATTGAGGGTTTGTAGATATACACATAAATAAAGACAACCGCGAGATGCAGTACAGGGTTATCACCCTAAACCTCAAGAAGAGAAGTGGACGGAGGTGAGCACAGGTAGAGGGGCTCAACGTCTGGCAACTTTTCATTTCTTAAAGCAACATGACAAAATGATGAGATTTGACGGAGCTAGTGATGTGTGTTTTAGTATCATGTGTGATCTTCTGTATGTTTAAACGACTTCATCATCAAAATTATTAGGAAAATAAGAAAAAGGGCGGATGCGTATGAAAATGGAAAAAGGAAGAACTAAAACGGTGGGAGGAGTGGGGTGAGCTTGGTAGGTCCCCCCTCCCATTCTAGGCCGTGGCTGGGGTCCTGGACAGGAGCGCCACACACAGCCCACGAGGGACACACAGGACACACAGGCCTGCCCTGGGGAGGCCCAGCCTCGGGCTCGGGCAAGCCTTGGCCTCCGGCAAACCTCGGAGGAAAGATTCCCACTGCAGCACATTCAGCCTCTCCGCCCTCAGTCCCCTTCACGGCCACAAAGGTGATCTGAATGTCAAAATCCCAAATGGCTTTTCCCAGGAAAAGCAGCTGACCCGCTCCGGCCAGGCTGTTTTGTCCCAAACACACACTACAAACTGTGGTTGCCACTCAGCTGCACTTGGATGGCAAATCACAGGTAATACTGCTTATCTGTAAAGCAGAGGGAGGCGTAGTGATCCCAAGACACAAAGGTGGGTGATGACAGAGGTTGCCCCTGGCTGGATGGCTATGGGACTCTTCAGGCCGGATGAGGGCTTTTTCAGCCCCTCCATCCCTTTCGACCCCAAACTCATCCACCTGACAGCACAGATTTACCCGACAAATGGACCAGAGGCTAGGGGTCCAGAGCCAGGCCTGCCTCTGAGTGACCTGTTTATACGCCAGCCAGGCCCCTCCAAACGTAAGAGTCATCCTGAAGTCTCTGCCATGCCCTGAGGTCAGCCCAGATGTCACTGATGGGCTTTGAGCTGTTCCCCACGTTGTCCCCGGATACGCGCGCGTGTGTGTGTGTGTGCGTGTGTGTGATTGGTTTTAATTCCTGCAGATGTTTGACCTCAACCCTGTGCTCTCATGTTCTTCCAGATCTGAGGCCTTGAGGGCAAACAGAGATAACTTACCACCCACCAAAAGGGACCAGTTTGAACCTGTTTTAGCCCTTTCCCATGCTAAAGCCAACAGTGGTTTCAAAATATGCGCTTTATCCAAGTCAGTGCTGCCTCATCAAAATTTCTCCAAACCCACTTACACAACCCGAAACCCCAACACATCCTGGTCCCTGTCGAGAATTCCTTCAAGGGGGAAGGGGCTGCCTAAGCATGTGCCAAGCTGGGAAGCCAGCGCTTCTGTCCACAACCCTGATTGGCTGCCCAGGACATGCCGTGGACACCTGGGAAGGAGGCAACAGAGTCAAAGGGCTGTTCCTCAGTGAATCATCTCCAGAGATGGGCCATCAGGTTTCAGGGCACTGAGCTGGTGAGACAGTAGTTCTTGCACTAAGACACAGCAGGTGTGATCCATCTCTCCAGAAAGCTCCACAGGCAGTGACACAGTCAGGGCACGGCAGAACCCGCCCTGATAGAGCCAGGGCACTGCCTGTGTCCGCCACGCCCCCTGGGGAGACGGGGCTGGTGTGTTGGACGTACGAGCAGGA